CTGGCCAGGCAGGGGCATCCATGGGCCTGCTCAGCCACCGGCATCGGGGAGGGCTGGGCAGGGCCGTCTCCACAGAAGGAGGACCCCACGCGCTCTCCTGCAACCAGTCAGGCATGGAGCCTTGGACCCTTGAAGGACCACCACCCCCACCCCCCGACCGCCAGCCGGTCAGCCTGAGGAAGCACTCAGGCCAGCCTGCCCTCCAAAAAGGCCGAGGGGTGGGGTGGGGTGGGGTGGGGTGGGGTGGGGTGGGGTGGGGTGGGGTGGGGGGGGGGGCACGTGCCGGCCAAGCTCTCCCATTCACCTCGGCAAAGAAGGCGGTGGTGGTCAGTCGCTGACTGTCGTAGAGGCTGTTCAACATCGGGGAGAGGTTCTTCACTATTGGGGGGAGCCTGGGGCCCCCATGTTTCGCCATTGCCCTGAAACACCCCCCCCCAAAAAAGAGGTAAGCAGGCCCATCGCTAAGCAGGTCTGTCTTCTTCCCCCACCGCAGGCGTGTCCCCTCCCTCTCCACCTGCCCCCCCAGCGCCTTTCCTGCTCCACTGTCTGGGGAGCTCCAGAGGCCCTTCCTGCCCCCCCCCGGGAGCTGGGAGAGTGCCCAGCTTGGCCCCACTCCATGGACAACCGCCTGCTCTCTGCCCCTCCACTTCCCACACTTGGGCCCCCAGAAGCCGCCTTCCGCCCCCACCAAGGGCTCCTTTCACCTCTTTTGGAGGGGGGGAGCGATCTGGGGGCCAGGAGGGAGAGAGGGAGTTTGGCTGCCTGAGCGACACTGGAGGAGGCCAGGCCGTCAGTGCCCTTGGGGTGCAGGCAGGGGAGGGCAGGGCCCTTCAGTTCCCCCCTCCATTCGAGGGCCAAGGACCGCCCGGGGGGGGGGCTTTGGTCAGTGCCACAAAACACAGGCTCCCGGGTTTCCAGGAAGCCACGGCTGGGGGGGGGCAGCAGCAGCAGCCACACCAGCAATGAGGCGACAGAGTTCGGGGACTGGCCCCACGCCCTGGGGGTGTTGGGGTGGAGGGGAGGTTTCTGGCGAGGGGAAGAAGAGAAACGAGAGCCCTGGGGTTGGTGGGGGGCCTTCCCTGGCAGACCCCCCAGCCCGACAGCCGTGTCCCCTTACCTGGCCAGGAGGGCCACGCCGTCATGGTGCCTCTCCATGCTCCTGAGCTGCTCCCAGCCCTCGCCCTCAGCCACGGCCTGGACCACCTTCTCGCTGCCCCCCCGGGTCAGCATGGCCTGGAGGGTCTCCACGGCAGAGCTATGGGGCCGAGGAGGAGGAGGAGAGGAACCCGTCAAGGGGGGCCGCTGAGAGCTTTTATTTTGGGGGCAGAGAGAGTCACGTCTGGGCTGGAACAGCAGGGGAGGGAGGGAGGGAGGGAGGGAGCCGGTGGGCTGCCCCATCGCCTGCCAAGCGGAGGGAGTCCGGCGGCCCTTCAAGGAGGAGGGCTCAGCGGCAGCAGCCTGAGGGCTTTATGGCCGGGGATTACGGGGGGGGGGCTGCAAGCTGAGCCCTCCATCTGGGAAACATACGTTACCCTGTCATGTCAAATCCCCAGGCTTAGGAAGGGATAAAACGGGGGTCCCCAAAGCAGGAAGCCTGCATTTGCACCCACAGCGGCGGGGGGCAATAGCTGGTGTGCTTGGAAGGGGCTCCTGCACGCTCTCCCCACCCCCCTGACCCCACCAGCGAAGAAGCCACAAGGGGGGGTGGCTGTGTGGTGGAAGGGACTCGGGAGGAAGGGACGTTGCCAGGAAAGCCTGGGCAGGTAGCAAAGCGCAGCCTGGACCCTCAGGAATGCCCCCTCCCGGCCTGAAGCCACCACACAGACACACACATCCCACTCTGGTTATGGCAGACCGCCGTGGGGTGAGGGTGGGTCCAGCCCTGGCACAGGAGCGAAGCAGAGATGTCCACTCACAGAGGTGGCCAGCTTCTCCCACAGGCCCTGCGGATCGGCAGCCCCCAGCGCTGCCGGCTGGAGCAGGTGCCAAGGTGGACGGCAGGCAGGAGGCCTCTTGAGCACACACACACACACCCCCAAGCCTGGCCCATGGCACCAGGGCCAAGGGCACCCAAGAATCCACTCCAGGTTCCCCCCCCCGCCCAGCCCCGAAGGGCAGCCTTCCCTCCGCCTGAGGGGCTGCACGGAGTCCGCTGGCAGAAACGGGCAGACCTG